CCACTCCCTTCTGCTCCCTTCTGCTCCCTCACGGCTCTGGCCCGCTCCTGCCATGCTCCCTCACGTGCCGGTGAAGATCCCGTTTAGGCTCCAGTCCTCAGGCGCCAACGTTGCGCACATCCAGCCTCGTGGTAACTTTACCCGATCACAGTGATGAGGGCCCGTTTCTGCCCTGATGAAAGGTGGGATCCCCAAGAGGATCCCTGAGAGAATGCCTTGCTACATCGCTGAACGGGGTTAACTGAATCCCCCAGTTCTGTAGGACAATGCTTCTCTTTCTCTCTTCCTTTCCCTCTCCCTCTCTCGGTCCTAACATTTCCCCCTGCCCTCCCTCTACTTATCGTGCGAATCACTCCTTCTATCCGGTCTTCTGACTACCTAAACGCACCTTGCTGGCGTTTCGTCGTACTTTGACCCTCCCTCTCTAGTCGTCTTCTTTTCCTTTCCTCTCGGCGCTCGTCTGTCCTTGGTCTTCTGCTATACTCCGGCGCTCACTGCTCCGCTTGCTATTTCCCGATGCCGAAGAGAAAGAAAACCGCGGCAGAAGTGTTTAATGAAGCGGAGGAGAGCGGCTGGCAGCCGATTGCGAACGCCGACGTGAATGGCGATCGGGTCAGCAAACCTATCGAACCGGGGACTGAGCTAAACTACGACCGAATGACCGACCTTTGGGAGGAGTGAGTCCTTCGCCCGCCCAGGCACGGGCCGTGCTCGTCTTTACTAACGAGGTGGACTCTGGCGTGTAGGTATACAAGGCGAAATCCTGGCGTGAGCCCCTACGTGTCACGAATCGTTCCTCAAAGAGTCACGTGTTCGAGCAAGGTTCACTGACGTGCGGAAGAAGATGTTTCGATGCGTATGCTAGAGCAAGGGTGTCTGTATTCAGAACGAAAACTATTGATGAAATGGATCACCTAGTTTGTGAGCGAAGTTGACTACGGAAGGAAAGCTATGAAAGGTGGGTGAAGCCCACAACTATATAGACATAGGAGACTCGTAGTACTCTCTCCTGCTCTGTGTGCTCCTGGTGCTCTGCCAGAGCAACAGAGCAGACAGATCAGTTCCAATGGTCACGTGACATAGCAGCCTCCCACATCCACGTGCCTTTGTCTCGGTACACCTGCCTCGTTTCTTCCACCTGTCAGGTAGCAGGCAAGTAGGCCAACGTCCTGCTCATGACACTACGATTTACGGTCCGCGAAGTATTTTATAGACGGTATTATTAAGGATAGTTAGAGTTTAAGCTACGTAAAGTAAAAGTCGACAGGATTAGTTAGATCTACTACGATAGTATCAACTCTAAGACCCACTATAGTAACCGTTAACGAGGATAGAGGCTAATAGACTAAGGATAGTATTAAGGTTAAGTACTTCTACGAGGATAAGGTAAAGTTAAAGATATTCTTAACGCAACTTAAGGCCGTCTTTAAGTTATACCCTACTAAGTACCCTACGCCTAAGGATTAGGTCTTATTTACTATACTAAACCTTAAAGGCTCTACCTTTACTTAGTTCGAACTAACCCTAACTAATTACCTAGAAACCGCCAACTAAGAGAACTTAGATCGGGAAACTCGTTAGACCTTCTACACGTTCGTTAATTTCGAGGTCCGAATTAAACAAGTCTTCGGAGTGGCGGATGAGGAGGCTACGGCCGAACGTATACTACACGACATTAGGTAGAAGGGGTCTATAGCCTAATACTATACACTATTTAAACAGCTCGAGAAGAGGGTTACCTAGAACTTAGCTGTATTGGCTTCTACGTACTACCGAGGCCTTAGCGACGCGGTTAAGGATCGTATAGAAGAGGTCCCTAACGACTATAACGACTTAGTCGAGAAATATATTAAGATCGATAATCGTTTATACGAGCGACGAATAGAAAAAGGCGGATAGAAAAGTAGTTACTTCGGACGAGGAGGATACCAGCGTACTCGTTAAACTAACTATAGCGACCTAATAGATCTTAACGTAATAAACCCCGAGAGGTCCTCACGACTAAAGTAAGCCCGAGGAAAGTTTTAGAGAGGATCTAATAAGGAGCGAGAGAGACGTAAGAAAGAACGCCTATACTATAATTATAGTAAATCTAGCTATATAGCGAGGGAATATTATACTCCCGTATAATAGCTATATATAATAGACGATTTAGCCGGTATAGAAGCGAAAAAGGCCGATACTTCTATAAAAGACTAAGGGGCGCTTAAGACGCTACTAATCGAAAGACTCGCGAAGCTAGGGGTATCGATCGCCCCAGGAAAAGAAGAGCTTACGGAGTACTTAG